TAAAATATTCGATTCTCTCGCATYTAGCGGCAGTACATGWTAGCGAAAACATATCCCGCGTAGTTCATTCGAACAGCCAGGCATTTACCAAAAATAAGTTTAATAGATCAAAATAGAATTGCATCATGAGCATTCGTTTCTCTCATTGTTTTCCTCAGCCCATCATTGAAAAGTGTTAATCCAAGTCTTTCCTGTATTTGTATTTCGAGATTTCTCTTTCAGAGGCAAAATGTCATTTTCCGTGACTGCCTGGAAACGCGYTTCAGTTGTTTTGTTGTCGCCCCTTGCATTACCATTTTMGCCTTAATTGTCAAATAAATATYACCAAAATCTCCCACAAAATGCATGATGACTTTGTACTATTGTTGAAAAAGACAGGCACCGCAAAGACTTCTGGGAATAGCACACGAACGCTTCACGAGCGCTTTCCCCCCTATCCCCGCCCTTGCTAAACTTCCTGGCAGTTCTGAATTTGTTGACTGAATTCCAAATACATTCCTCATGGTCAAATAATAAGGAAAGTTACGTACTCACAAACATGAAAGTCATGCATGAAAGTGTTTCTCATTCTTGTTAACAATCTCAAAAAAACAGTCTTGAATTTATATSTATTTTGTAAAATCATTGTTTTTAGTGAAGTTATTCATTTGAACAGCACTTTCTGACAAGGATACTTCAAGTTTTGAAAAGAACAAATATAATAAATCTTGATAATAGTAGAGTAAACGCACATTTCTCCATTTCGTAAACTTGATATCTTCACTAGTGAAAATAACATTTGCTCACTAGTGAAAATAACACATTCGAGGTTTCTCTATATAGCGAAAGTATACGTAAGAAAAAAGCTATTTTACGACATAATTTGCTTTCGTATACAATTATATGATAAATATAGAATATTACATGTTCACTTGGAGATACGAATTTTATCTTCTCTTCGCTACACTCACTCGTGAGAGATCTTTTCAACACTCGAACACAAAATCCGTATCTCCGCGCGCCCACGTAATATCCTTATTCCGTGAAATTTAATTAACCTCTTCATACTATATATTTTGAGCTTATTAGAAAATGGTGTCCGTAAAGAACAATCAATGGCGATTTAAAGGAAGTGCTGCTTACGTAGCAGATTTAGCGCAATTTTGTGCTCTTTTGATTTTGTTCAGTTTCAGGGATTAAATGCGTGCACTCTCTTAATAATTAACTATTTTCAGAACATAATGACGGAAGAAATAACGTTTGAATTAAATAGACATAAAGCAATTG